TTCTCTCCCGCATTGTAAGATGGCGGCGGGTCCGCCTGGCCCGGGCGCTTTCCGGGATCCCTCGCGTTCCGCAATAACGCGGCACGGACACACGGAGCAGCCACCGCGGTGCTACCCTCGCCCCGCAGTTGCCCCTCTCCGCCGCCCCGAGGCTCTCCGGACCCCCGGGAATCCATCGCCCGTCCGGGAATCGCTTCCCCTCGCGCCCGGCGGGAGCGCGCTGCGCGCCGCCGCCTCCCCCCCGTTGCACAATCGGAACCGGGTGGAGCAACTTCGCGGCGGCTAACTCGGAAAAAATGCCGAGGTGATGAAAGTTTGTTGGTTTGGTTTTGGTTTTTTTTCTTTTTTTCCCCCCTTTTCTTCTTTTTTTTTTTTTTTTTTTTTTTTTTTTTTTTTTTTTTTTTTTTTTTCTTTCTTTTTGTGGTGGTGGCTGCTTTTTATTAAATCTTTCCCAGGGTGAGAAGGCTCCCGGAGTGAAGTTGCCCCCTGTTAGGCTTAGGCTTTCTCGGCAGGTTTGAGAATTGCTGGGATGTAATGGCAAAACGCGATGAGAGTGCAGCGGCGTTACCGGGAAGTCGCTGTTGGTCTGTTCTCCTTCTTACGCGAGCTACGTGGAGCATTTACGTGCTTCAAGAGCTCAGAGGAGTGAGTTGGTCATCTCATAGCCTGCCAAGATGGCAGAACGTCCTGAAATCGATGAATTTAGGTGCACAAAACACCTTTTGTAGACACTGTGTAAACTTTGTGCCGCCTGTTTGTCTCGCTTTAATTTCACGCAGTGCTTGTGGTTGTATTTTAGACAAAACGAGCGTTTTTTATAATGTTTTTAGTGAATGGATAGTACTGTTACCTTCGAAACTTTTAAAACCATTCTGGGTAGCTAGCTGAATGGATTGCCTCTGAATTATGGCTATTCTCGGGCAAGAATTTCAAAACAATTCCTTTTGAATCTGCCATCAAAATGTCCCTGTATTAGTGGATGATATCACTTGAGTTGAAACACAGCTAGGATACTCCCTGGTATGCTTTGTCATCAGCTCATGCTTATGAAACACGTTCAGGTGCTGCAGGTAAGAATTTACTGTCAAATGTAAACTAAGACAAACCCCCACTTACGTAGTAATCTGGTGGTCAGAACCTGAAAACGATTCAGCGTGACTCTCAAACCAGTAAGTCATCTCTGACTTCAGCGTTTCGGCCTGTTGTGTACAGTCTCTTGTCTTGTATTGGTCCTTACGTTCTATTGCACTGTGTAGTAGCAAGGTTTTTCCTACACCCAGTGCAAGAGTTTAGGATTTTGAAGATAGTTGAATTAGGGTTTTTCTTTTTGCCTTTTTTTTTAGTGTGTGCGTGGATTTTTCTAATCAGTTCATTCACACCACACTACAAGATATACTTATAAATTCACATGGAGTTTGTAGTTTCGATTTTTGTAATGGCAAGCCTGGAAGGTGAACTTTATTTGTGGAATGAAAAAAACCATACTTTGCATGTTGCTTTCTTTCCTCTACTGGTTTCCAGTACAAATGTTTACAGAGGCTGATGCTGACATAAAAAAATAGCAGGGCCAGTTCTGTAACAGAGTGGTTGTGAATGTAATTTTAATCCTGTCAACCAGTAAAGCCCAGAGAGAACAGCATTGTCACTGGTGAGCTGGGATTCCTGTCTTCCAATTGTAAGAGCACAGATCAGACCTTGGAACTCTCTGCTTCCTTGCAGTATGTCTTTGGCAGTAGATAAGAACAGGCTAAGGAGAAACCAGGACCTCAGAACATTGTAATCACACATAGCTGATTTAGTTTGTGTTATTACTTGTCAGAACTAGAATTCACTGTCTCCTGCAGCAGATGACATCCTGAATGTACCAGTGAAGATATTTTCAGTGTGTTTGGCTGGCTCCGTCTTTGTGGACTTGATGTATCAAGCAAAATAACATTCTTCATTATATTGAGTAAACTAGACTTTGAGACTCTGTTAGTGTGTGTGTGTGTGTCCCTTTAATCTGAAGTCTGTTACACATTCAGAATACAGCCACTATTAAGACATAATTGGCAAATTCTGCTTCTGTTTTGAAAATGAAAGTAAATGAGTATTTATGTGTTGTCTACTTCTGGAACACCCTGTATAAAGCTCTCCCCAAGCTAAAGTAGTTGTCAGGTACACCTTCAATCCAGAAAGATATTTGTTATGCTAGAGTTTGTCATGTCATCGGTGCCATCTGCTCTGGGGGCAGCTTGTGTTCAGTTGGCAAAACTCTGTCCTTGATACGGCTTTCTTTGCAGTTGTTTTATGATAACAAGCAAGTTCTTTTCCCATGGCATAATGTGAACATGCATCTTAAAATTGAGTATTTTCTTCCCTGAGGATGATTGAGTATTTTCTTCCCTGAGGATGGAATTTTTCCCCAATTTTTTCCTCCCCAGAATTACCAAGAAATTGATTTATGAGCATGTATCTAAATACTTGATGCACGCTGTAAGCACATTGTCTTGGTCTGAAGTGTCAATGGTGCCTGCTAAAAACACATCCTGTAATTGCTGCAGCATGCTGGAGCTTCCGCTTCAAATTAATACAGGAGATGTATGCATGAAATGTCTCGTCTATGTAATCCTTAAGAAAGGTTGTGCCTGCTGTGTTTTATGGCTGTTTGATTAAGCATAGCACAAGCCAGCATCATTATATTGGAATAATTTATTAGAAAATCTCAAGTGGAGTTTGCATCCTGGAAGCTAAAGGCTGAAGGTGGCAAAACCATTTATTGCTATTTAAGTATAGATATAGAAGGCTTCCATTGACACTGGTGGAGTGGAGGCTGAATAACTTCCTCAGGCTGTAGCCTCCATGCATAATTAACTGCAACTTTAACCCCCCTTCTCCACATGCTCATAGTGAGAAACCCTGGAAATACAGTATTTTTCAAAGATGAGGTGTAACATACATTAGTGAGGACTGCATGGAAATATGCATTAATTTAACCAAAGTGGAAGAGTTACAAAGCCTGGTTGTTACTTTATTTTTAAACTGCTACTTTTTTCTTTTGAACTTGGTTTGAATGAAAAAAACAATCCGTAATAAAGCTGGTTGGAATTTAGTTTTCTTCTCTGGATGAAACCCACAACACTTTTGCGGGCAGTCTTGGATTATGTTTGCTGGGCTTTTTCAAAATAGTTGAATAAGTTATGTGACTGAACTCATGCTTTGAGT